TTTCTAAGCCAAATTAACTCTTTCCTCCCCAAGTTGCCTTTGTTCATGGTGCCAATCACATCGACAGAAACCAGTCTACAACATTTCTCTATTTGTTACATATTTTCCTGAATTAGGCACATGAGTAATAGTGGCTTCATAGAATGAGTTTGGAAGTAAATTCTTTGTTTCTATTTCTTGGAATAATTTGACAAGTATATTTAATGTAGTTCTGTGAAAATCTGGTAGAATCCTGCTGCAAATGCATCTAGATTTATATTGGAATTTTTACATTGGAAGGCTTTTATTACTGTTTCAATTTTCTTATTTGTTATGGATCTGCTTATGATGTTGATTTCTTATTGATTGAATGTTGATGGTGGAAAGGCAGCAGGGACCAAGGTATGAGTGGCAAAATCACTAATAGCAAAAGTTATGTGAGTATGAATCCCCGCTAGGTCTGGCCATGGAGGGTGGTGCAGCACCGGAGTCTTGGTTGACTCATCAAGAGATCACAAACACAGGTACAGCTCCCAATTGAGCCTAGATGGTATGAAGAGTGGCCTGGGGCAACTCACCTAGCAAAAAGGTTTTGGTTCGAACCTCCAGCTCACTCCAGCTTGATCCAGAAAGCCCTCTCTTTTTCTCCATCTCTGCATGTGTGTGTGTCTCTCTCTCTCCCTCTCTATTTCTCTCTCTCTCTCTCTCTCTCTCTCTCTCTCTCTCTCTCTCTCTCCTACACCCACTCAGGGAATCTCCAAAAAAGGAAAGACACCAAAAAGCCCAGTTCCACATTCTTGACAGCTATGACAGCTCATCCCCTGAAGCTGCCAGCAGCCCAAGTCCCTGCCTAAAGCATTTGGCCTTGACCATACTTGGGCACAAACCCAGCTTGTTGCAGACACATCATCACCTATTGCCTACAACCTATATAAGCCCCTGCTTTAGTTTAGGCATGTGATTTCTGTCTCAATCTCTTGATCCGGAGAACTCACCTGGGAGTTGCTGTTCTTTTACTTTTTTAATTCGGCTTGATCTGGCTTACTATGTGTGCAGAGAAACCTATTATCACTTTACAGGAAACCTATTATCGTGTTACAGGAAACCTATTACATTGCAAGGAGCTGCTTGTTCGTCCTGGCTGCCCAGTACTGAAATAATCACACAAAAATTGTATTAATTAAAACACTGCTTGGTAAAATATCCACGATATATATATATCACTGCTTGGCTCATTAGCTCTAGCTTTTTATGGCTAACTCTTAACATCTTAATTTAACCCATCTCCATTAATCTGTGCATCACCACGAGGTCATGGCCTATCAGCAAAATTCAAGCACATCTATCTCCAGTGGCTCCGTGGCATCTTTCTAACTCTGCCCTTCTTCCTCCCAGCATTCAGTTTAGTTTTTCCTGCCTACCTAAGTTCTGCCCTATCAACAGGCCAAGGAAGTTTCTTTATTCATTAACCAATAAAAGCAACACATAGACAGAAGGACCTCCCACACCTTTACATATTTGCAGGTGTGACTTCAGCTGCATGAATTGTTGCATGGATTCTAATTGGTCTTAGTAATAAAAACCTGGAGTCAAGATACTAGGGGGTGAAAGCTAAAAGATCAGAGAAGCAGAACAGTCAGCCACTAGTTTTTACATCTACAAAATCCTCAGACCGAATGGGGTATCCTATCTCTACAACTCTTCAGACTGAATGTCTTAAGTCCTGTTTCCTCCCACCTTATATTCCTCTCTCTACCCAGCCATATTCCTTCCTCTCTCTTGACTCTCTGTCTCTTTTAGACTAATTTAATCTTGTGTAGCCCAGGCTGACCTGGAACTCACAGAAATCCATCTGCCTCTGTCTCACGGGGGCTGGGATTAAGGGTGTGTGCCATCACTGCCCGGCTTCTATGGTTAACTAGTGGCTAGCTCCACACTCTGATATTCAGGCAATCTTTATCTGTTAGATTACAAGGAAATATCACCAGAGGCAATGCTATAATTTTTAACTGTATTGCTATCATGCAGGTCTTACATAAATAGCCACAGGTGCTGTGAATTCATGTGTGCGATGCTATCTCACGTCCAAAGGAAAGCAGTTCACAATGCTCTTCCACATCTTCTCAATTTTACATTTTTTCACCTTCTCTTCTGCAGTGCTCCTTGAGCCTTGGGTGATAAGTAGACTTAGATATCCCTCTCCAGCTCAATTCTCACACTCACTTATTTTTACACTTTGTATAGTGAGACGTTTCTTCATTAGCTCGTGCCCAGTGAAATAAGAAGCTTCTCTACTCAGTACTGGGAGCAGAACAGATGTGTGGATAGCTCCCAGTCTTGTATAAATGTATAGCTCAATAAAATCAATTTTTAAAAAAGTTACTATTTTAAGAATATAGAACTGTACTGACCACCTCATATAACATTTGAATGACTGTTATATTCTTGTTGTGACACAAATCTCTCCCTTTAAATGTTTTGTATAAGGAAAAGCTACATATATTTATCTAAGGAACATAACACTATCATAAAACTTAAACCTCTAAAATTTATCTTTAATTTAAATCTTTAAAAGTTAGTTTATAGAGATAGATTCTCAAATCATACAACATTAACTTTTAGTTTGGAAACCAAACTCCATAAATCTGCAAAATACTAATAGATGACTTAAATTAACATGAATTCAACTATAAATGTTTTCAAACATAAACTTTATTTTGTGGTTTTGAGACCAAGCTACAGAATTTTGACTTTGGCTTTGGCTGTGTCTTGAAGACACAAATGTCTTTTACATTCAGATAGCATTACCACAGCTGTAGGGTGCCACCTAGAGGCTCAAACAAAAAGTATATTTTGGGAAACTGCTTTAAAGAGATCTTTAATTTTATTTTTTAGTTGTCTTCCTTTTCCTTCCTCTAAGTCCTCCTATTTATACTTTCTTACTTTCTTTTAAAATTCATTGTCTTTTTATCAACAATGTGTGTGTGTGTGTGTGTGTGTGTGTGTGTATGGACATATTTCTGCATATATAAGTACAACCTGCTTATCTGCTTAGCCTGTATAATGCTACTCTTCTGTGTCTTTTAACGACAGACCATTTGATTATTAGATAACCAGTTGGTACTCTCTTCTCGAAGGCCTGTTTCTCCTGCACTGTCTATGTGTGTATGTCTGTGTTGGTGATGAGGGAAGGTGTCCATGGATGCCAGAGGTGTTGGATACTCTGGAAGCTGGAGTTACATCTATTGAGAGCTGTTTAATATGAGTGCTGGGAACCAAATGTCTGTCCTCTGGAAGAACAGTATGAGTCCTTAATCTCTGAGCATCTCTCCAGCCACATACATCCCTTTTTAAAAAAATTTTTTATTGCTTTATATACAATACCATTCAAAATTTCAACTTCCTCTCCTCCTCCCATTTCCCTCCTTCTCCCCCACTCCCTCCTCCTCCAGTCCTAAGAGAGGGCAGGGTACCCTGCTCTGTGGGAAGTCCAAGGCCCTCACCCCTCCATCCAGGCTTAGGAAGGTATGCATCCAAATAGAATAGGATCTCAAAAAGCCAGTACATGCAGTAGAGACAAATCCCGGTGCCATTATCATTGGTTTCTCATTTGGCCCCAACTGCCAGCCACATTCAGAGGGTCCATGTGCATCTCTTTTTAACAGGTCTTTGAAACCAATCTAACTTTAATAGTCTTAAATAGCTCTAAAGTTCATCATTTTCTGAACTTTCCCCACAAAAGTGTATTAAATAGAACAACAATAATTCATAATATTAAACATTGACAATTCATGTCAGTTTTCATATCTTATTTTAGACAAGTAACTAAGCTGAGCCATAGTGGCACACGCCTTTAATCCCAGCACTAGGGAAGCAGAGACTGATGGATCTCTGTGAGTTCAAGGCCAGCCTGGTCTACAAGAGCTAGTTCCAGGACAGGCTTCAAAACTACAGAAAAACCCAGTTCTTAGTTGCAATCATACAGCCACTATTACACACCAGTATCTGAACCTGAATATTGGAAAGGGTTAGGGATAATCCTACCACACCTGTTAGTTTAGACTGAGTCTTTTTAGTTCTACTCAACTATATGACTATTTTACCACATAAGGTATGCCTTATTATTTTGAAATAAACTTATCATTTACCTTCAAACCTTTAAAGAATTTTCAGTAGATTGATTAGTAAGAGTCTACGCATCCTTCATTCCTTCATTAATTTTCATGCTATAATGTCAAGCAATTGATTTGTTTATTTCACTGCTGATTGTATATAGACAGCCTCTACATGTCAATTGCAAATGAATATTGTTTTCTTTGGTTTGTTCATAGCAAGCACATTACAAAGAGTTTGTATGATTACTGTAGTCACAGGAAACAATCATTCTCATGTTGCTCTTGCTAGGTATTTAGAAAGAAAATTAAACTATACATTAGTCTCTCTGTTTCGTCTTCTTCTTCTCCAACTTGGAATTTTGAGCAGTCTGTTGCTGTAACTGCTTGCTGGTCTTTCACTATGAATGTGATCATATGTCCCACATTCTATTTTAAAAATCCCTAATGCTTTTCTGTACATTAAAAATGTATTTTTTCTTTTTCCACGTTATTTCCTTCCTTATCTTGCAGTTGAAAAGTAGAAATTTTCTGATATGAGAAAAGCTGGTGAAATGAAGTAACCGTCACTTCAAGTTGTATATATGCCTGAGTACTTTTCAGAGGAAATCAAAATTTTGGCAAACAGAAAACTTGTAGAAAATAAATGAGTGCATGTTGGCAGAGTCCATCTGGCAGCAGCAAGATGCTCATGTGAGGACAGAGGTGGGGAGGAAACACACACTTCAGATTTTCAGTGTGACAGTTCACGTTCTCCTGATCATAAAGCTGGAGGGGAAACAGACACTTCAGATTGTTCCATGTGATGATGGTTCAGGGCCTCCTGGTTGTAAGCTGCTTCTGCAGTTGTGTGACGCTAAGAGCGGCCTACAAAACTTCTATCTAAGAACATCCAGGGGTCTTTCTGCTTTAGATACCAGAGTTGGAAGCAATCCAGTCCCGGAAAGCAGTCACTCTAGTATAAACACCAGGCTTATTGGGTTGACCACATTCATCTCCCCAGCTCACTATTCCAGCAAGGTACCAGATATCTCTAGCATCTGGAGCAACCAGTGGTCCTCCAGAGTCACCCTAAGGAAAAAGGAGAAATTGCTTATTTCAGATCACAAAGGCAGAATTTGTTATTGACCCAAGATAAACTATAACAAACATGGTGGTTTTCAAGTCCTCAGTGTTGTGGAATATTAGTTTAAGATATGTTACATCTGTTTATGTTGTGCAATATTTCCTTAATGATGAAAAGATATGTTGCATTTTTTTAATGTTGTGTTTGTTTAACTCTGTAAAGCTGTTAATTTGCGTGCCTAAAACACCTGATTGGTTAAAACACCTAAAACAGCTATTGGCTGAATGGCCAATAGCTAGGCAGAAGAATAGGAGGGTTGCCAGGCAGAGAGAATAAAAAGGAAATGAGGACTGAGGAAAGGATAAGGAGAGGACTGCAGAGCCAGCCACAAGGCCACACAGTCAGCCATGGAATAAAAAGGAAAGAAAGATATATAGAGAATAAACATAGGTAAAGAGAAACAGGATAATTTAAGTTAGAAAAGCTGTCTAGAAATAAGCCCAGGCTAAGGCTGGGTATTCATAAGTGAGAAAAAGTCTCTGTGTATTTACTTGAAAGCTGGCTGGTGGATTCCCAAAGAGGAAAAAACAAACCTACACCTCAGGGTGTTGAAATGCAGGGCAGCACAGCTCCCCACAGAAAGGCATTCTGCTGCCAGGAGAGCTGATTTGACCTCGAGTTTCCCAACACAAACAGAAAGTTTATTTAGCTGAAGAACTAGTTCTGTGGACTTAGCTGATGCATCTGGCCGGATCACTCCTCTTCAGGCCTCCTTCTTGCTAATATGGCCTAACTCACCAGAAAGTGCTGGATAGTTTATTGCTGATAAGGAGCACAGACATGAGCTTTGGAAATCCACAGAGCCCTTAACATTTGAGGCTGGAGAAGTGCTTCAGCTACTAAAAGAATGTATTGCTCTTCAGAGGACCCAAGTTTGGTTTCTGTTACTCACAACGCTCTGATCACAAATGCCCATAACTCCAGCTACAGGGGGATTCAACCCTTCTAGCCTCCAAAGGCAGCTACACTCACCTGCACAGACAGACAGACACACATATACACAGAATAAAAATAAAAAAAAATAAGTTTTTAAAAATAGCTTTCACAGTCTTACTGAGTCTGAGATGGAAATTAAATCTAACTAGAAGACTAACAGCCTAAACTAACAGTTTGAATGGAAATGACTTTGAAGTCTGTGGACATTTGAGATTAAATTTGGGCAAGAGTTTAATTTGGAAGATGTGTCTTTGGGGAAGTCATTAAAGCAATGACAGCTAATTTTTTTGAGATGATTTATTTGAACAGGTATAGAGACAGAACAGAAAATTTCATATGTGACCTAAATCTTGATTTCTCAGTTATAGAGATTGCCAATAAGAAAAATGTTGTAGGGGCTGGAGAGATGGCTCAATGGTTAAGAGCATTGCCTGCTCTTCCAAAGGTCCTGAGTTCAATTTCCAGCAACCACACGGTGACTCACAACCATCTGCAATGAGGTCTGGTGCCCTCTTCTGGCCTTCAGGCATATAAGCAGACAGAATATTTTATACATAATAAATAAATAAATATTTTTTTAAAGAAAAGGAAAATGTTGTAAGGAGACTGCTTATGCATTTCCTGGCCACCAAGACTCCCAAAATAATCACATAGAAAACTATATTATTAAAGTCACTGCTTGTCCAATCACTTTAAGCATATTGCTAGCTAGCTCTTACATCTTAATTTAACCCATTTACATTATTTTATATTTTACCACGAGGCTTGTGGCCTACCAGCAAGGTTCCAGCTGGCAGCTTGGGTCTTTCCTCTCTTGCACCTACCTGGTGTCTCTCTGACTCAACCTTCTTTCTCCCAGAATTCAGTTTAATTTTCCCTGGTTACCTATATTCTGCCCTGTGAAGGGCTAAGACAGTTTCTTTATTAGCCAATCATAGTCACAGCATACAGAGGGGAATCCCACATCAGAGAGATAACAAGAGGAGGAACCAAAAATGAGTAGATGAAAAGGGAGGCAGGAATCAGCATGGAACATAATCATGGATCTGGGTCATGATTCAGGATCATGGAACCTGAAGAGAGACCATGTTTTGTAAAAAAGGAATTTGCCAAATAACACTCAGATGAGAAAAACCAGACCCAGTAAGAGCATTGTTTTAGGTTATTAATGATTTTGTGATATTAAAGCTGTACAGAGCCATACAGGTGGAGAAAACTGAGAGAGAATTCTGTCTAGATTGAAGTGTGCACATTTGGCAATCAAGCATCTTCCTGCTCTGTTCCTGTTTCTGAATGATCATAAAAGTACCTAGAGTATTGAATTCAAGCTAAAAATGCTTTAGTGAATGAGAATATTTGCGAATGTGGAAATGGCAAATCTTTCATCATTCGATTTCACCTTAGGAAGCTGATTTACAGAATAACCTTTGTTTGTTTAATCTATTGCCCCAGAAGCCATGATGACTAGCGAAGAGAAAACTAAACGCGATGAAATGAGTTCATTCTTGAGCTCTGGCCACAGGCATGCAGAAAGGTCAGCTCTATGAGAGAACTCAGTTCAACAAATTGAATGTGGCTAAATGACTGACCCAAGAATAAAGGCAGGAAAGGTCTGTCTGGTGTCATTGGTGATCAGCAGGGGTGGGAGTGATGGAGGTGGAACCTGGCAGTGTTCCCATGAAGTCAAGAGGAAAAATACGAAAAATAAGATCTTGAAAATCATACATATGTCTTGTATAACTCTAAATTGCAACATGGAGAATAAGATGAAATTCAAATACGGGATTTAGAAAATATGCTAAACTTACTCTTTTAAAATTACAGAAGAAATTTGTAGGAAGGACATACCCAGTGAACCATTTAGCCCTCTCCAATAGGTTGTCACTGGGGATTTTGAAGAAACCATTTGTGCACCTTATAAAAAGATACCGTTTCATACTGACCAAGACACTGATTTGGCAACACTAGACAGTTTATACTGGGGTGCAAACTCAGAGATGTCTGTAATTCAAACTAGGGTAGCATTCAGTTATCCTATCTTAGGCTAAATTTGCCTAAAGCAAACAATCAACTATGGATTCTAGAAATAAAACAAATATAAAAATCCTGTGAAATGTAAGGTGCAGAAGCAAGTAGATTAACTCCAGACCCGAGGAGTAATACAGCAGCAAATTGCTTTTCATGATCTGATGTTTGAAGCCAGAAAAGCCACCAAGTTGCCAACCTCTGAACAGGTGCAATTCAAAATTGAAATTTAAAGATCTCAAGAAAAAAACACCCTCTTTTTTTCCAGGCTAACAGATAGTTCAGCAAGCACTTTCTGCTCTTGCAGAGGACCTGGATACAAGCACCTAAATGCTTGCTCACAGTCATTTATAACTCTGGTAGTATCTCAGTGTTTGAGGTGAATGATTGATAAAGAAGTAAAGACGTAAAGAAAATTTCAGCAAAGAATGCCTAGACACAAATGACAATAAAATGAAAACCCTAGAACTTGAACTTAGTAATCCAATAACCAAAATTTAAAACACAATTCATTGGAGGAGATTTTTGGAAGAAAGACAGCAAGGAGATAGTGACTAGAATAAGAATCAAAGAATTCACCTAAGCAAATAACAGAGAAAAGTAAAAGTGGAAATAACAATGAAGACCAATTCATGAACCTCTGAGACTATAATCAGAAATGTAACATTAAAATCCCAGATGAAAGGGAAGGGAAAAGTTACTCAAAAGGGAATTAGAAGAAATCATAGTTGAAAATTCCCAGGCTAGCAAAGGACATAAACCTATAGATTGAGAATAACTGAGCAAACTCCAAGATGAATAAAGGCAAGGAAATACATGGTAAGACAGGAAATCAAACCTCTGTAAAGACAAAAGAAAATCCTTGAAGACAAGAGAGACATCATAGACAGAGTCATGTACAGCAAATCTGCTGGCTGTAGATTCTGTTCATCTCTCAAGGAGGCCATGATTCAAGGGCCCAAAGAGAACTATCAGTCTCAAACTCTATATCAGGCAAAATTATCCTGCAGATATGATGGGAAAATAAAGGGTCTGACAGATAATAATAATAATAATAATAATAATAATAATACTGCCATCAATAGACCTCCATAAAAAATATGGTTACAGGAAGTTCCTAAAACAGAAAGGAAGGAAAGAGACATGAAAATCTTTGAGTAAACATATTTTTTCTTCTCTACTTGAATACCTAACTTAGGCTTAGAAATGAGGGACAACAGGCTGGGCGGTGGTGGCGCACGCCTTTAATCCCAGCACTCGGGAGGCAGAGGCAGGCGGATCTCTGTGAGTTCGAGGCCAGCCTGGTCTACAAGAGCTAGTTCCAGGACAGGAACCAAAAAAATCTACAGAGAAACCCTGTCTCGAAAAAAAAAAGAAAGAAAGAAATGGGGGACAAGAGGAGAAGAAATTTAAACATTTATACTTATCAATATTTAATAAAAAAGAATGGTAGAGATTTTAAAATGTATATTTTCTATTATACCCCATTGAAATGAATAAAATGTCAACAGCAGTAAACTGTAGTAAGGTATATATCACATAAACATATTTACACAAACAAGCTGGAGTAATTATGACTGCTTTTCTATAAATAAATAGTGAAGAGTAGTAGCAGAAAAAACAAATGGAATTCCAAAACAAGTAACTGTGTGATCTTACTTAACATCCTGAAAATAATAGGATTATAGAGATAGATAAAAAATAGCAATTTTGTGATATTAGAGACAGCAGGAAAGGGCAAGAGCTTATTACCCAATATAGATCTTTAGAGTAATGGAATAGACTCCATCTTGACTGCAATGACAATTCCATAAGTCTATCTTACGCAAGAAAATATCATATTCCTAGACACATATTTTTGTACCCCTGTCTGTTCTCCAGATTTTATATAACTTTATCCATCTACAGTTTTATTATAGTTATATGACTGTAACCACTGAAGGAAACTGGGTAATGAGTACACTTGAGGCACAAAGGCTCAGAGGATAAAAGTATTCACCACCATGCAGTCCTGAAGCATGCATATGGAAGGAAAGAACCTGTCCCTACTAGTTGTCCTCTGGCCTCCATATGTACATTGTGCTACATGCATTCCCACACACCACATACACAAAATAAAATAGCTTGTAGCACAAACTGTTTGAGAGAGAACATATGACCTTCTGCAAAATCTATGCAACTCCCTGTGAATCCATAGTTACTTCAAAATGGAAGGTGCATACATCACTGTCCAGTACACTAGTAGGCAAGTCCATACCTGGCATGCATCTTTCTCTCCTTTTAAGAAGCCAGCACACAACATCCTAGGCGTGATGGCACCATTGTAAGATTGAGGTTGATTGCAGGTTTGGGTATCTATGTAATCCACCTGGACTTGCCGAAGGCGATTCTGTGAAAATCCTGAGGAAAGACAGTCATCTTTATAACTACGAGTATTTTATAAACCTAAAAAAAAAAAAAACCTCTGCTCTAATTATTAAATAAGATGGCAATATGCAAGTGGGTTGAGGAGTTGTGTTAAGAACAGTAATATTTTAAGGAATTCTCTCTACCTAGTTTAAATAAAATTTTCAGCACCAAAGAAAAAGCTTTAAGTTGTTGAAGCACCATAAGATTTTGCTTGGGGAGAAGAACCGTATGATTTCCTAATCTTCACAATTAGGTATATCCCTAAATTCTCACAGGGCTAACTGTCTAGTAGGAAATTCAGTAGCAAAATCCTACTGTGGTATCATATGCTGGAAACCCCAGTGCTGGGAAGGCAGGGACAGGCGGAATCTGGGAGTTTACTGGCCGCCAGTATAGTTGAAACAGCTAGCTCTAGGTTCAGAAAGACATCCTATCAAAAACACAAGTGACAGCTCATGCTGGCAAGAATGTGGAGCAAGTGGAACATGTCTTCATTGCTGGTAGTAGTGCAAACTTGTATAGCTACTATGGAAATCAATATAGCAGTTGGTTCCTCAGAAAACCAAGAATCAATACACCTCAAGATCTAATTGTTGTGGAGTAATAGTTTAAGATGAGTTGCTTTTGTTTATGCTGTGGTATATTTGTTTAATAATGCAAAGATGTATTGCATTCATTTATGCTGCATTTGTTTAATTCTATAAAGCTTTGTTACTTTTCCTACCTAAAACATTTGATTGGTCTAATAAGCAGCTGAACATCCAATAGGTAGGCAGGAATAATGAGAGTTACAGAGCCTGAACTCGCCATCTTCTATACTCAGGCAAGACTTCCAGCAGTAGGACTAGGACATCGACCCATCCACAAAACCCTCACAGTACAATGTGTCCTGCAAGATGTGCAGGGGTAATAGTGGCACGGAACCTGGGGAAGTGACCAACCAATGACTGTTTCAACTTGAGGCCCATGCCACAAGAGGAAACCCACACTACCATTGCCTGAATGGCCAGGAACAAGAGGCTGGACAACTCAGAGATCAAAAATAGAACCAAACACAACTGGCAAAGAAAAGTAAATGAAATAATTCCTAATGAAATTCTGCTATACTCATGGATTGGTGCCTGGTCTAATTTTTATCAAACAGGCATTATCCAGCAACTGATGGGAGTGGATGCAGAGACCCACAGCCAAACACTAGGAGGAGCTCAGAAAAGGGGGAGGAAGGATTGTAGGAGCCAGAGGAGTTGAGGACACCGTGCACAGAATCAACTGAGCAGGGCTCATAGGAACTCTCAGAGACTCAGGGAGTCTGTCTTCTGCATATATGTTGCGGTTGCATAGTGTGGTGTTCTTGTGGGCCTCCCAGCAGTGGGAGCAGGGCTGTCTCTGGCTCTCTTAGCTGATCTTTGGAACCGTTTTCCTCCAACTGTCACCTCATCCAGCCTTTATATGAGGACTTGTGCCTAGTCCTAATGTAATTTGTAATTTCATGTTCAGTTTCTATTCAATTTCTATCCCTGAGAAATCTTGGGTTTGTTTTTTTGTTTGTTTGTTTGTTTTTTTTTTTTTTTGAGGGAAATAGAGAAGAAGTGAATCTGGAGGAGAGGCAAGGTAGGCGGGCGCAGGAAGAAGGGAGGGGAAACCCGTCAGGATGTAATGTACAAGAGAAGAATTTTTTAAAAAGACATGTTGTCACTAAATAAATAAGGTGGATAAGGATAGGTAAAACATTTTGATATCATCCTCTGACCTATACACACACTCACATCAGAGAACACACCAAGCGTACAAACATACAGCCCCCTCCACACAGACACACACCCTACAGGTACATACACTCATTAAAGAAAAAGGAATTCCACCACCGCCCGGCGCACGCCTTTAATCCCAGCACTCGGGAGGCAGAGGCAGGCGGATCTCTGTGAGTTCAAGGCCAGCCTGGTCTACAAGAGCTAGTTCCAGGACAGGAACCAAAAGCTACAGAGAAACCCTGTCTCGAAAAATCCAAAAAAAAAAAAAAAAAAAAAAAAAAAAGAAAAAGGAATTCATTCGGTGTCCGGAAGGCACATTTGCTCCATTCCATAACTTACAGCACCTTCACAGTAACAGCAGTAAATAGAAGCTGAAGGCCAGAAAGAATGCATGCATCTTCTAAGTGACTTAAAGCCTGCTTTCTCCTGAATCCAATGAACAACCGACACACTTTGTAATAACTCTCATTTTTTAAAATGCTTTGCAACTCCAAATTAGGTCACTATAACTTGATTTTTTTTTTCCTCCAGATGCTCACCATCATCTTGTATTGCTCCAAATCCTGTCACAAACATCTGCTGTCCAGGCTGGAACTCATGGTTTGCATCGGGGAGACAAACCTTGTGCACTGCATTTGTGCAGGGGACTGGCCTAGATAGCTCAGCGAGTGCAATGTCATAGTCATGAGATGGGTATTTGTATTTTTCATGGACAATTATCCTCCGCAGGCCAGTCCTCAGTTTTGGAGGTTGTATTGTTGCCCCAAAGGAAGCAGTCCAACTCGACGGATCCTTGTGCCTACCGAAAAATAGTAGCAATAAAAATTCCAGCTTACCTTGATATCAGTGTAATACTTTGTAAGGAATTTTTGATCTACAGGTATCAGTATAAAATTTTATTTTTTTAAGTTATAGTTTATATTAAAAGAAATAAACACTGTCCCATCAGAAAACTGAGCTCTGGGTTCAAGCCAGGTGCAAAAGGCACAAGAGTGTTTTTCCTAGGTTAGATGTCACACCAACCATCATGGTACCCAGTGCAGATCCAGGTGCCCTTGCTGTAAGTGGCTACAAGCAACACATAAAAGGAAATGCGTTCTACATGCCCTACATCCTCTTCCTGCGAGGATATATGTTCTGAGATCCTCAGAGATTACGTATAACTTTAAAAAGCATTACTACTGTGGGTATTGTCAATATTTTGATGTAATTTTGAAAAGTCAACATTCCTTCTAAAATAAATTAACTATTTAATTACAAAAATTTGGGGATTTGTTTTGTTGTTGTTGTTGTTTTGTTTTGTTTTCGAGACAGGGTTTCTCTGTGTATCTTTGATTGTCCTGGAACTTATTCTGTAGACCAAACTGGCCTCAAACTCACAGAGATCAACCTGCCTCTGCCTCTCTGAGTGCTGGGATTAAAGTCATGTGCCTCCAGAGCCCAGCTTCAATTATAAAATTTGCTACTTCCAACTTGCGTCACACTTCCTTATCTTCTTGGAACTTCGTCATGGGGATAAAAACTACCATCTGCCCAACTCTGGTACTTATTAAGATACTTAGTGACCATCAGTTCTTATCTTTGATAACAAGCTCAGAATTCAAATGTGGCTTAAAGATCCTATGCTCTTTGACAAACTATCATAAATTTCTCAGTAAGCAACTACACCACAACAATGGCTGGCATCATTTTCATTTCCAGAGACTGTAAAATCTCCTACTAAGTATTCTGAGATTCCCACTGTTTTGTGATAAACAGTGTTGCTTTTGATTTGTGCCAAACCTACTTCTCTAAAGATTCATGAATATATAATGAAAAGCCACATGTCCTTCCCTTCTGCTCCATCCTCTAAGCTCAGGACTTACGTTCGGAAGCAGTGAGCAGCACTCACGAGCCATGTGTTGTTGATCAAAGTTGCTCCACAGCGATGCGACCCATCCAACTGCAGGCTACTTTGCCATGGCCATTCTCCCTCCTCTGCTTGCGTCCCGCCAATGATCCTGAGGCTAGTCTGTGCTGTCGATTTATTCCGCCGTGTCCCACAACCTGCAGAGTAGACAGGAGACAGTAATTAGCAGTTGTTTAAGCATCCCAATTTTCTTTTACTGTGTGATCCAAGAGATCAAACATTTTCTCAAGTTTTTAACAATATGTAAATAGCATTTTATTTAGTCAACTCCTATCCATTTTGTGAGATCTAAATTCTACATTATTTATTTTGAAGTGACAATTTCTCTGCTTCCAAACTAAATTATTTGTGACTTCTTTCATGCTTCCTTCATGACAAGACTAATGATAGCATTTGCATATGTGTATACAAAGTAGTTTTGTTATTATTACTATCTTTGTTGTTATTATTTCTTTATTTGTTCTTATTATTCCTCTGCATTGCTTACAATGGAGTTTTTTTTTTTTCTCAGCCTGGGTACCACAGATGCTTAGAGTCATAAAAGTTTTAGTTATGAGTGACTATCCATGGTAGGGCTCCTGATTGAGACAAACTAGATGTCAGTAACATTCTCTTACATGATGGAGAGGCCAGAGTGGGGCATGATATCTTGTGCAATATCAAAGCCCTTGAGTGAAAACTGCTGTAGAACTATATGGTCATGAATCAAGCACCTGGTATTATCATAGTGTAAGCTGCTTTGGGCAGGCATATGTTACCCATTTTGCATCACTTTTGGCTAACACAAAACCAGCACATCGTAGGTCCCTAATCATTATTGATGGCAAGAATATATGTCATTTAGACAATGGGATTATATTTTGGTTCTAGGCTTAGCAAACTTTATAAACTAATCAACATTCCAAGATTTTATTTTAATTTTTAATTACATTTATTTAATTAGTGTGTATGCATGCATGTATCTACTATTGTATTTGTTAGCCAGAGAACAGCCTGAAGCTATTGGTCTCCTGCTTCCTCCATGTGAGTCCTAGGGATTGAATTCAGGTTGTCAGGCTTAGCAGCAAGTACCTTTATCTGCCAAGCCATCTCACCATCCCTCCTTCCATTAAAAAAAAAAGAATGATAAATATCCTCTTACCAGCTGGGTAACTTTTAACTATATTTTTTGAGCCACAGTGACTAGTCTGCTATGAGAGCATGAAGGACTAGGTCTAGAATCAAGACCTTTAAAATTTCATCATATTTTATTTCATCAAATATTCCACAAGTCCATGATTACTATTGTAAATGAGCAATATCAAGAATCGGGATGATTTTATTTAGAGTAGTTTGACATTAAGTTTGTCTTTAGATGAAAAATAACAGCATGTGGCTCAATGTTATATGTGAAAACTATGAATTTAACCACAGGCAAAGAGAGTATTTTTGCTTCTTCTTTAACAGTTGTCCAACTCTCTTCTGTTCCCATGGACACAGGCACCTGTACATCCAATCTGAAGTTCTCCAAGTTCTGTTATTCCTTACCATATCTCAGAGCCAAAATAAAGAGCCATGAACTATGTACAAACCATCCATCCTGTGTCTACAGTATCAGCACAAAGCCTGTTCCAGAATGTTACCTTTCTGCAATCAGAGAATGAAGTCTTAATGAATACATTGAACTTACAATGGTTGAGAAAGTTGTCGGTTTCTGTCTTGTTGATTTCTGAAACACACACAAATGGAGAACAGGATGGGGTGAGCAGAACAGAATATCACTGTGTGAGATTTTCAGCACTAGACAGCTGATAAATTTCTAAGACAGTATTCTTGGGTTATAAGGAAAGAAATATAGTTATATTATCACCGACTTGCCTCTTTTTTGTAACTCTTTCAAAAATGAGAGGAGACATGAACAATGAACCTGGAACTCTGGTGTAAAAAGAAGCATACAGACAACCCGTTTATAATGTAAAAAGAAGCATACAGAGAACCCGTTTATAATGTACATTACTGTTGCATTTCTCAATAATGCTGATTCATGAGTTTTGTGTTGAAACCCAAGAATGTGAGTTTTAAACCAGAAAATAGGATCCTGGGAGTAAATGGCCCCTCTTCGAAAAATATTAAATAAACTGTAATATTGATTCCTTAAGTGCAGTAATAGTTTTACTAACCATCATTTCAGAACATTTTACTATGAAATAGCATAGCTCTTACATGTAGCACGATCCTCAGCTCCATGAGCACAATTAAAAGTAATGTTTCTCCTCTCTAAATTTCCTTTCTGCTAGGGTTTTGGATATACAAGACCACCCACAACTTCCCTCTCTGTTCAGCTAGATCCTTACCTTGGCAACACTCAGCAGTCAGGACCTAGTCATATGCAAACACTTGCTGAAGTAAAGGGTACAGAATAGCCTAAGCACTCACATTTCCTGACTTAAACGATTCTCTTTGAACTCATAGACAGGTGTTCTAAAGGGAAATCATATTAATCTATTAGTTTTTCTTCTGGTACTTAATGATTTTGACATACTGGGGTTTATATTACAGACATTCTTCTTTTTTAAATTTATTTATTTTATTTCATTTGCATTTATGTTTTGCCTCCATATATGTCTCTGTGATAGTGTCAGAGCCCTGAAACTGGAGTTACAGGCAGTTGTGAGCTGCCATGTGGGTGCTGGGAATTGAACCTGGGTCCTCTGGAAGAGCAGTCAATGCTCTTAACCTCTGAGGCATCTCTCCAGCCCCAATATAATCTTCCTTTTTACCTTCTCCATCATGCCATCATGGGGAAATGGGAGACATAAGGAAGATGGATTATTGAATCTCAATTGCAATTCAGCTACTTTAGTAATCTGTTTCATTACATCTATCCTCTACCCCAACTCCTTTCTAAAAGTGCAGGTTTTATCTGTTCCCATCCCAAGAATAGCTTTGTGCTTTGCTTTCATGTCTTTCTGTTACTACCCTGAAATCCTTAGTTATTTTGTCTTGTGATGTGTGCTTTGAAAGGGAAGCCCAATGTGCTATTCAAACACAGTATGAACGGAGAAAGTGTATGGAATTTGTGTGTCTGTGATGTCTCACAATGCCACTTGCAAGTATCAGTCGTGATGCTCTGTGAAATCAGAATCCTGGTGAACACACAACACGTGGCAACATAGCAAGACAAGCAGATAAATGTGTTCAACTCAGCGCCAAAAATGGAGGGAGAAGTGGCGGCAAAGAAGGGCATGTTTGTGTCTGAACAAGAAATTTGTAGAACCCAGGAAGAAAGCAATGGCATTCTAGTAAGCACAAATGTACATGACACCCTATCATAATTGTGGCTCAATTGTTTGTGTCTATTAGCTCATTGTTTTAGCTGAAAATAATCATACTGAAAGAAAGATAGGGAAATTTATAGACCCTTTTCTACCCAGTCTTTCCTTTCTTATCAATCAGCCAAAGACAGAAAGCTTTGAAAAGATGTGTCATATTAAGAAGGGAATTAGAAATAGTCAGCTTAGGTTTGTGTACCATTCTCACAGTGTTGCAACAATAATGAAATGCACTGTCCTTCTGCATCTATAGAGGATTAGTGTAAGGATTCCCAAAGATGTCAAAACACCAACCACACTCGGAAATGGTTCAGTGTTTGCATGTAACACATATACATCTTCCTCAACACTTTAAATATCTCTAGATTACCTATAGCATCTGATAATATAAATTCGAGGCAGATAACTGTTGTTTGCAGAAATAACAAGAAAATGTTTATACTCAGTAACAATAATTTTTAATATTTTTGGTTTTGCAAAAATAATGTGGCTTTCTAAATCCATGGATATGGAGTCATGAACCAATAGGGCAACTGTCCTTACATGAACTATAAAATATTATTGCATAGTCATTTGTAGTCTCAGAAAATAGAAACAAACAAAAATGTCTACTTCAATCTCTCTAATTACAGTTGTGCAACACACAAAAATGAATATATGTGAATTACAGTTGTTCACTGGAAATGATCTTAAGAAGTAGCTATGAGAAAATATATTAAAGCTTTCCCTGCATGCATACTCTCAGAACATGCTATGGAAGCAACAATAGCAGAAGAATATCCAACGCCACTTTTTCCATGTATAATTAGGCTCTGGATCCAACATACAAGGCACAATAAAAACACTTCTTGGGAGGAAAAATTTTTAACTGAATGTTTAAAGCTATTTTAAAATTATGTTATGTAAGAGCACAGCACATCAACCTACTTTTAATTTCCACCGATTCAGGATCAACGCTGGGGGGTCCTGTAGCATATTTCAGCTTTTCATGCAGAACATGTTCAACTATTTGGTGCACAGTTTCAGGATCCTCAGTAGAGCGAATTCGAAAAATCAGCAGCATGTGAGCCGACACTCCATCATATTCTTTACTATTGTTCAAAAATAAATAAATAAGGAAGGGAACGAGAGAGGGGGGAAGTAAAGAAAGAATTGAGGGCGGGAGCAAGTTTGTGAGTGAAATTATTATGAATGGTTCTTTGGTTTTCTTTTTTATATATAACACTTTGTTTTCTTAAAAGTTAACCATTGAGCTCAGCTTCCTGTCCTTCCATCAATCAGATCCACCTTCTCTGCTCCTGTGTTTTTCTAGTGTCTTAACTCATTGGCTCTCTAAGTGTTCATGCTTCCCCTAAACTTGTGCTTCTTCATGTTACAGCCCCAAAGGAAGAAAGAACAAGCAACAGGAGGATCATTAAGATGAATCTGGCAAGCTGGAAAGGACAAGAGAGTTAAACTGGTGGTGCTTAGTTATTTTATGAACTAAGAGGCCCAGGTGAAAGAGGCTTGTATGGCACCTCAGGTTTCTCAGTGGTGTGATTAATTCTTCTTGAGTTAGGGAATTCACCATGCAGCCTTTTGCCAGGTGGGAAGGAACAGGCAAATTGTTACAGAAATCAGGAAAACAACTTAGACTGGACATAGAAACAGATCCCAATAAGCATAAGACGCCATGTGGATGATGTGCCCCTTATGAGAATGAAAATTTATGAAGTAGAGGGCCAAAATACATTATCTCAGGTATACAATTTTTAAGGATAAAGTCAGAGATATCAGCTAATTACAGACTGGGAATTAATTCAGAGTGGTATCATTTAAATAATACTGTAAACAGTTCTCATCCCGTTTTTGAAGAATATGAATAATATGTGTTAGAATACATTATTTAAGATCCATAGTAGCATTTTACTTCAAGTGTTGTGTTTTGCCAGGTAATTACACACCTATAATCTGAAGACTAAGGCAAAAAGATTGGAGTTCAAAACAAACCTGGACTACAACACAAGACCTTGTCTCCAACACAAAAGAACAACAGTAGGAAATTATGTTCCGAACTTGCTATTTAGCAATAATTGGTAAGAGTTTCAAAATCCCCTTAGGCAAGTGTTTGGAGCATAAAAATGTAGAACAGAAGAAAATAGGCTAAATTAACTAGGATAGGGGGTGGGTAATACAAGACATGAAGACAAAGATCTCATTTGCCAGGGTATTGCTAGCTACTCAGTCCCCAATTCTGATGATTAGTTCACACACACACACACACACACACACACACACACACACACACACAAACAATCATTGGCACCAATGATTATACCTGTCCTCAACAGGCATGTTGCACATGTTCATTTTCAAATTACAAACTAAAGTACACTTTAGTCTATGGATTTCATAGAGCAGGTGAATAAATGCTTGTTAAATTGAATCACATCAAATCATTAGTATTTTAAAATATATTTATTATTGACCAAGTTAAAAATTTTAGCATTAAAAATGTTGTTTCCACATTAAGTTAAATCTAGAATAACATCTTAGGTCTACATACGTGAACTTGATAATGTGAGCCTTGACAAGTTGTCCCCTCAGTGGAGATCTATAAAATGCATTTTTCACCTGTTAAAAGACATTTGAAACTCATCAACAAAAGAAGTTTTTTCAAATTCTTCATGTTAATCCAATGTTTTGGAGCAAATTAAAATAGAAGACAAAGCAAGCGAGCGAACAAAACACAGACCATTCATAATGTACTGAACCTGAAGAATCCTCTCTGGCATCCTACCCAGTGTTGGGAGCTGAGCTCTGCATTCAGCATGACAGCCACATTGAGGCCAGCGCAGACCTATACCTTCTGCTCAGAAGGACATCAAAGACGGTGAGCCTGCTGTTTCCTTGAAACAGTTCGCCCTCCACTTCCTGAGTTAAGAACTTTTACAACAGACAGACAAGGACAATGGAACATTTATCTTAGTTTTTCACATTTCTATCACTGTGACAAAATGCCTGAGTCAAACAGCTTAAAGGAGAAAGAAGTTGTCTGGACTGGTGGTTTTGGAGAAGGAAGGGAATAGTCTCCCTAAGTGAGAGCGGGCTGTAAAAATGAATGTGTGTCAGTGTTGCATGGGACGGTAACTAAGTGTGCTCACATACTGGGTGCCCAGCTCGACACTGGAAACGCTCCGAGAAAGCCCCATGGACTGGAGTTCTGAAAAAACACAGCTACAAAGTTTCTCTAGTAAGATGATAGTATTTTTATGAAACTATTTCTTGCTGTAGTAGTTCAAATGAATTTGAAGTTTAAAATTCAGGACTTGAGCAAGTAAAGCTTTCAGTTCCTTCTTGTTTTCAGTGTGTAAGTCGTCTCAGGACAGAGTGAGCACAGATGGGTGAATTGCAGAAAGAGTTAGCTTTTTTCTTCTATTCTTCTATTTCTTTGATTCCTGAATCTGTCCTCCACTGATGTTACTGTGACCATCATATGGATATGTCCTTGTATTGGTGATTCATTTGGAAGTTTTTACTTAAGGGTTTATTTTTATCAAGTAATTTCAAAATTATTGATTTGGAAGCTACAAAATATCTATATTACTTTAAATTGAAACCCATTTGGATCTTAGAAAGTTTATTTTGACAAATGGCAAAAACAAGCAAACAAACAAACAAACCCAAGGGATATAGTAGCATGTTGACTTTCTGAGCTGCATTCCCTTTCTTTCTTTACATGTGTGTTAATATTGTGGAACACATGTATCACTCTCAAGTACACAGGTCACCAGGATCTCAGAGATTGCGCAGTTTCTGTGAAAGGGTGTCAGTTTGTCTAAGGTTTAGACATGGTTGGAACATCTCCCAGGGCTTCACAAAACTGCAATTTAATCCCCATTGTAATGTAGTAAGAGAGTGAAAAACCATAGTGCTTAAAGGTGGGGCATTCAGGAGGTGAGTCAGACTAGATAGGTTATTAGGGCAGAGCCCATGACTGAATCCTGGTGGCTCTGAAGAAGAGAGAGAGAGCAGAAGAGACTCAGTACTCAAGCGCTCTCTGTCTTTTGTCTAGTGATGTGGTGAAGTCCCCTGTTGAATCTGCCAAGAAGGGAAGGCCATCATCAGATGCAACCCTTAACCCAGCACTTTTCAACCCAGGAACCAAAATAAACCTCCATTCACTAGAAAATATACTATTGAAGTATTTCATATTAGCAACAAAAACAAGCCAATGCAAGTTATTTCCATTCTGTCCCTATTCAGAATATTAAAACTAAAAGACATGTGTGCAAATTACATTAACCTAATACCTAAATTAACATACAAGGATATTTGTCAGGAGCGAAAGGTGATCTGCCACACATTGACATGGCACTGACTGACATCAGCTGATAGGAGTTTCTCTTCAATTCTCTTTCCATCACATCATATGTAAATTGTCTCACTAGCCAAGAAACTTCCAGATTGTGGTCGAGGTAATATAGTGATGGGAATTCATCACTCAAGCCTTTGTTCTTTTGTTCTGTGCTGCTGGTTTTCTGTTTTCTTAACTATTAAATCCTCCCCCGGATGAATACTAATGTCTTATATACACCAAATGGATGTATTTGATGTCTACAAGTAAAGCATAGTGTTATAAGCATAGAGAAGATGTCACTTACCATAGTTTCAATTCTTTGGCTCATTTCTGTGAAATTTTTAGAAGCCTCTTTTCCAAACTCAGCATAAAGCTTATCACTTGTGAATGGCAATGTGCTGTAGTAATTGTAGGTCCTCCTTTGATCTACAAGGGAAGAAGTAAAACCCATCATAATCTTTATCAGATGTATAAAGCGTGATTATGACTCCACTTGGTGCTTACTTAAAACACTAAGACAAGAAGGAATGCTGATGCTCAGCTCCATCATCCTGTTCCAGGCTCCCGGGTGATCTCAGAATAAAGGGATATACTTATCACACTGTATTATATAGACTGTAAAACTTGTGAGAAACGCCTGGTGCTCTGGAGTGCCATGCGAATACCGCATGGGAACTGTGAGCTAATTACTCAGAGGTTATCCATTCCCTAGTTGGCCCAAAGGATATGCAGTCATGCCAGCCGAATGAGCACATCAGGTTGTGTTTAGAAGCTACCAATGGCTGAATTATTTTATATTAAAGAAGTAAACTCCCCCATGCATTAACTACTCATCAATTCTGGACTCTAGTTTGAGAAAATGTATTTTCACTGGAAATGGAAATGAGCGTAGGGAGAATTTTTTTTAAGGTTTTTTGAAACAGAGTTTCTCTGTAGCTTTGGAGCCTGTCCTGGAAACTAGCTCTTGTAGACCAGGCTGGCCTTAAACTCACAGAGATCCGCCTGCCTCTGTCTTCCAAGTGCTGGGATTAAAGGCGTGTGCCACCACTACTCAAACTCCAGAAAGCAGAAATTTAGGGAGCTAGAATTCCCACCTGGTGTAACCTTCCATAGACACTATATAGGTTCACTGGACTCCTCTGTCAGAGAACTCGTTTTCCACCTCTAGGTTTAGGGGATGTCTTGTCTGGTGTCCAATCTCTACTGCCAATTCATACAACCTGGTTTGTTGACATATTGCAGGGTCAATGTAGTACAAATTTCCTCTTCTACACATCAATTAGTTGGAAACTTGTGTCTACTTTTCACGTATATTAATGCCTACCACATTTCTGTGAGAGAGATATTGTACCAAGCATTGCAACCATAACAGTAGCCTAAGACCATTGAAAATAGTTATTGTAAGAAAATGGACTATGCCTCACCCAGGCTCAGGCTCTGTTGACAGAGGTTTCTATCCCACCAGATCCCACAGCCATTCAGTCCCAAAGAAACATATAGAGGCTTACATTAATTTAAAACTGGTTGCCTATTAGCTGAGGCTTCTTATTAACAAATTCTTACATCTTAAATTAACCCATAATTCTTGTCTGTGTTAGCTATGTGGCTTGGTAACTTTTATCAGTGAGGCATTCTCATCTTGCTTTTTTTAAGTCTGGGTGATGACTGCAGACTGAGCCTTTCCTCTTCCCAGAATTCTCTTATTCTGGTCATCCCAGCTATATTATTGCCTGACTACTAGCCAATCAGCATTTTATTAGACCAGTACAAGTGACAAATCTTTACAGAGTACAAAACCATTGTCAGACAGCAAAGTTCTTTCCTCTTCCTTCCTTTCTTTTCATTCTTCCCTTAAACCCCAGCAGAAAAGGGAATTAACACCAAGCACCAGCATCTCAGGTATAGGCACTCAGGCTATTCCTACACCTCATTTGCCTTACAATAACCCCTTTAGAAAGCTGTGCTGCCTTTATTTAGGGATTTCCAGTCTCAGCAATGTAAATAACTTGACAAAAATAATGTGACAAAGCCAAAAAATACAAAATTTCGAGACAAAGCCTAACTAAGCACAGACTCCTTTGAATGTCCTAGAATGAAAAAAGCAAAACAAAACAAATACCCATGGGTGGTGGTGGTGCACGCCTTTAATCCCAGCACTTGGGAGGCAGAGGCAGGCGGATCTCTGTGAGTTCGAGACCAGCCTTGTCTACAAGAGCTAGTTCCAGGACAGGCTCCAAAACCACAGAGAAACCCCGTCTCAAAAAAAAAAAAAAAAAAAAAAAAAAAAAAAAAGCCTGTACAATACAAATACCCACTCATTAAAACTATTGGGAGAGAGAGAGGTGGTGATGGTGCACTCCTTTACTTTAAGCTTTAATCCCAGCACTAGGGAGGCAGAGGCAGGTGGATCTCTGTGAATTCAAGGCCAACCTGGTCTAAAAGTAAGTTCAAGGGCAGCCAGGACTGATACACAAAGAAACCCTATCTTGAAAAATAAAACAAAAATTCTATGTGTGCAGGTCACATGTGTGTGTGGCATAAGTGCCATGGGAAGCATCTGAAGGTCAGAGGACAACTTGTGGAGTCAACTCTCTCCTATGCCTTTACACGGCTTCCAAGGATCAAAATCAAATGGTCAGTCATACACGGCCAGCACTTTTGTGTAATGAACCTTCTTGCAGGTTTCAAAAATTATGAAATTTTAATATAACATTAATTCAAAACACCCTGGCAAACTTAATACTTTGGCCAAATCTAGAGGATTTGGCAGGACAGAAAAAGAAATTGATGGTCACTTTAACAAGCCCAAGCAACAAATGAAGTATGAAGAAAAAGCATAGGCTGGAGACAATAAAAGTTCAGGAATTTCTGAGTAATCTCAACTTAAGTGGGGGACAAGAGAGAGGGAGTGTTTTTGTTACTTCTCCTTCTATATAAATCTTACCTTGAATGGCCAAAATGCCAGGAATAACAGGCAAGTGCCTGAAATATACATGCTTGAAAGAAAAGTTTTCAAGCTACTGAAATATTGAAAAGTTGCGTAATTATCTTTATAAACTACTGATATTCTATTCTGCGTTTTATTTTACCTTATTAGGCAAATATTAAGTCCCTTATAGATGTTTATTTAATAGTGAGTGACAAAACAAATGTTTGTGGGGGGTGTACGTGTGTGTGTGTGTGTCCTGGTTTCATAAAGTGAGGATCAAAACGATGTTTTTCCAAACCTAGTCACATGTCTTTACTCTGTAACACAACCATTTGGTTTGGCATGAGAATTACAGAATGCTCATTGTTTTAGTTCCTCCATTGTTAGTTTCCAGATGGTAAATCACACATCACATACAAAACAGTAACATACAACAATTACTATTGATTCAGGTGTGGTGTGTGGGAAGTCCTGTGTTACAGTTTCTGAGCTGATCATCCACACCATATGACGCAGGAACCAGTTACTGAAAAACATGACCTGGTTTTCAGTGTACACATGTGAGTAAGATCCATCACCTTACACAACTTGGTTTAGGAAGAGGCAAAGGGGATGGAGGAAGAAGTGCTTTTCTCTCACAAAAGTGACCAAGTCTCTAACATTGCAAGGGGTTTCTTATGAAACCAGATAATCCTAAAACCACGTCATTTGTTTTGTCACTCACTATTATATAAACATCTATAAGGGACTTAATATATGCCAGGAATATTCAAACTTTTTGAAATATAAAACTGAGTAAATTATAACCTTACACATGCATAGAGAAATAACAATACTTACAACATAATGAAGCTCAGTATATTCATAACAGATCTGTGTTGCAATGTTATTTTAGCAACTCCTTTGTATTAAAAATGTTCCAGAGAAATTTCTATTACCAAAATAAATATACCCCAGCTTTAAAGACCTACATGTGTATAAACAGCACCTCAAAGAAAATCTGTTTTAAGCATTTTTTTAACCACCCAAAAGAGATGTATCCACTGTGGTCTGGAAATTGAGATTGTACTTTGTAGATAGTGCATAAAGATAAACAGATTACAGATAGCTCTTTCTTTGTAGGCGAAACACCTGCCTCAGATTCCCAATTAAATTAGAATCAAGTGATTAGCTTCTAAAGTTTCAAAGCCTTCAATATCAACATATAATCTAGTCACTCAGGGAGATATTAAGCAAGAGGTCATAGTTGAGTCAACTAATTAAAACGCAAGGCACAGTACAGGGAAACTTCAGAAGGGTTCTTACATCCTGGAAGAATAGCTCTGTAGTCCCCTGGGTACCTTCTTCATAACAGCAATTCGCAGTTCATCTGGCAGTGAGAGACCTGGTTACCACAAAGTGAACCCCCTCATAATTAAGCTCAGCATATCGTGTCCTCTGTCATCATTACATTCTGAAATAAGATTTTAAGTTAACATAGGCACTTATTTAATAACACATCATTGTGAACATCTTTCCAACTTACTGAGTGCCCAACAGAGTTTAGCTTTACATCATAGTTCAGTGTCTAATTCATTTATTGAAATATTAAGATTTTGATGAACTAGATTTTTTTTTAAATCAAGGTTACTGTCATGTGACCTCAGCTAACTCAAGACATCACATTCTAGCTAATCTGTGGTCTTCCCCTGTTTAAGGCCCCTTCATACACTTCCCAGTTATTAAGGAAAGTAGCATTTTATTCTTAGTAGGAAGCGCTGTTCCCTTAAAGATGGAAGGATGAAGCCTCCTTGGTTTGTGGAGATTAAAATGAAAAACAAAGCAGTCAAAGAGTTCTTATGCAAATAAATCATAGCAATGAAGAAACAACCCCGAGGCAAGCCAAAACAGGAAATTCCATGAGGAAATAGCTGGAGTAGGTCACATGATACCATGGCATCTCATACTTACTATATCTGACATAGTGAACGGTGAGCCCAATGCACACAGCCAGGACAATCAGGGATAAAAAAGAGATGAGGCCAATAACCCAGGGCTCCACACGAGTTCTCTTCCTGGCCCTCACCACAGGCGGCCTGAGGAAGGGAGTAAACAGACGGATTACATGGCCGTACATTTCTCGACTACACTTTAGGCAAGTTAGCAACACTGGGCTTTCGGATGGCCATGTGCTGTCTTGTTTCCCAGCTGTTGAGACAAACCCTGGTTCTGACTGCCTGACCTTGGGCAAGTAATTTGTTTCTTTTCTTTATTTATGGCACAAAGATGATAGGAATGGTCTCTATATTATAGGCACTAAACATTATTTGTAAGGACTAAACAATAGTTCTATATGTAAAATAATAATAAGAGTGCTTGGCTTATACATGGGTCTTCTGGACTAGTTAGCTGTCCTATGTCCCACAAGCAGCTTACAAGCTACAGAGTAGGTTCTGTAGAGCTATACATTTAAAACTTGTTTCTAGACAGTAGAATTTTCAATGGCTTATGAAATGTGGTAAAGCTTAAACTGCATAACATGCTGCAAATCTAATTCGACTTGCCTTCCAACTTCATGATCCAGTTCCAAACCTAACCTTGAGGGTGCACAGAAGAGATTATGGAAGTCCTCCTAAAACCCTAGTGTTTGAGCTAATATTTACCTATAAGCTTTTGTAATGTTTTGGTAGCCCTTTTTGTGTGACTTCATCTTTCCCTCAAAGCTCAGTCCTAACACCTGAAGGTAAACCAGACTTTTGTTTGATTGGTTCAACTGCCAGTCATTCAGATTATATATTCCAGTTAGTAAGAGAATTCAAATACTAAAAAAAAAAAAAAAAAAAAATAGTTACTGCTTGGTAGGTGTTTGGCTATAATGCTGCTATTTTTTAAAATTAGCTGTTTCTTGTATCTATAAATTGAGTGGAATGGGCTTCTTTCTTTCTAAAATTCTACTCATCCAATACGTGAAAAATGGAGAGAATGTCATGACCTGGTGGGGAAGTTCTGGGTACCAAATCCCATTAAAGAGCATTGTACTTCCAGCCTTCTTATTACCAGCTCTGACTCAGACTCAAACCATTCAAATGCTAAGATTCGCCACCTCTCAATAAGGCACAAGACACCCATCCTGTCTGTAGCACCCCAGTGAGAGCAGGAAGCTTCTCATAATGTGAAAAGTACTTTGCAATAAATACTTTTTATTTATAGCAGTAAAGAGTACTCATTGCTTGGTATGTAGGACCACCAGGAAATGTCACATTGATTTTGTAGCACTATAATTGCACCTTTGTGCCTGGTTCATAGAATAGGGAATATTTGTGTTACCATCTTCACAGGATCCTGCCTGTCCCAGCTGCCACTTATAAGGTATAATGTCTAGGCCCAAGGGACCCTAGTTGTTTCCCGCCCTTCTTGTTACAGTTTTCCCATGGGATGCTTACCATGGAAACTTCAGTGTTACCTCTCTGACCTCTTTGATCGTCAGTTCTCCCTTGAGCAGGGTTCCAAACACCTGTTCCTAGGATGGTAATTACTATAATATAAAAATACTTTTTCATCAGGAGTTTATTTTTTTTCATGTGTACTGTGCCCACGAAGCACTTCAGCTTTATTCCTGCCCATTTATCTCTGAATGCTTGCTATTCATCTGTTGCAGAAGACAGGAGATGCATATAGCAGACGTAAGCAAGACTTTGGGGTTGATACGGGGAAGGGAGGTTTTTCAAAAAATGTCATGCATGCCAGATGAAGAATATAAATTTATGTGTACACAAATCAGGATAAAATGGCAAAAACGACATGGTTACTCTGCTGAGATGTGTAGTATAAGTTATATTTGTTTCACAGTGACTTCTTTAATCCAGAAAGAAATCCAAGCAAAGCAATCACTAAGTTGATGAGTGCAAATCTGCTTGTATTAACAAGAAAGTGGTCAATAACCCACTTAATAAAAAAAGTGAAGATGAATATGAATAAGAGGTATTTTGCATTCTAATTTTAAGGTAATTATATGGTGTGTGAATAATAAAAACATAGGAGGTGCTGAATTATTAGCAGAAATAGAATAAGAAATGAACAAAACTTTCATTTGGATCCATGCATGTTTTTGGTTTTATGATAGGTACCTTAAATAATAAATTAGGCTTTTGAATGAAATGGAGAAGAGAGAGAAATAAAAAATGATAAAGAGAACTTATAGAGAATTTATAACTGACTGAAGAAGATCAGGTCTGGTGTGTGTGTGTGGGGGGGTGTTATGTGTATGTCTATGTGTGCGTGTGCGTGTGTGTGTGTGTGTATACTTCATTTTACTACTGTGCCAAGCTACTATTCTGGCTTCCTTTCTTGATCCCTTCAATATCTGAGTGGCATGCTTTCTTTGGTGCTAGGAGGCAAAAGGGATATCATGGGACAAAGTCAGAGAGAATCCAGTTAAGACAATTTAGACAAACAATTATAAGAGTGTATTTCTGCATGCTTCCACCAGCTTCTTTATCCAGGTAGATGTACTACTCTCTCAAGTTGTCTCTGTATGAAAAACAAGAATTATTACATCCACTCCTAACCTGATGAGCTCTGTGGAGGTAAAAGTGTTGTAATTTTATTATATTGAATGCCCATGTGAAAAAAGTATACAAAAAGTAGCATTTATCATACCTATTTTAATTATTGATAGTAATATTGATACCCACATTACCAAGATATTTGCCATTTGAAACCTTGTATTTGCCTTCCCCAATCTATAGCATTGTTTCCATGTCAAGTAACTTGGCTTCTTTTTTTCCCTTTATTAAGGTACAAGTTATTATTTCTTAGCTACCTTTTTTCTCAGCAAGTCATTCAGTACTAAACTGCTCCAAAGTAGATATGGTTAGAAAGTGTTCTAAAAGCACCAATAAAATGGAGGAATAAATCTATTTCTCACATCAGTGAATGCTCCTGTACCATGTGCATGTCCTGTATCAGATACCATGTCCAAACACTTCTTTGCCACTCCAAAAGATAGCTTAATTCATCTCAACTCACCCTCAGGAAGACTTTTAGAATTCTAATTCCTTCATTAATTTCAAATTGCCAAATTGCTTCCTGTTTTTTTTTTTCTTTTCATTTGGGGAAATGTATAATTAGTGAGAATTGAATAAATATAGGAATTAAGGTACAGATGTATTTGACTGGCCTTAAATTGTTAGAAGTCAAATAATAGACCCAACATTGTGTTATCAACATCATTTCTTAGTATGTCATTTTTAGGACAGAACTAAAAAAGGAAAGGCAGTGACAGCAAAATGTGAGGGAGAGTGAGAGACAGAACAGCAAGCAAGCCTGCTGGCAGGCTGTGGGTGATTATGTAAGGAGGGAGTGCTATGCTTCTGAGGAGAGCTTGTCAGAACAAGCTCCCACTTAGCATGGGTCAGCACCATGTTCAGAACAACAGCGGCTCTCAAATTTCTTGTTCCTTCTCCCTCATGGTAAGTAGTGCTGATGTTGTCAGTTACCACATCTCAGCAGCTCAGGCCAACCCCCACTGTTCCAACAAGCATGATTATGATGTCCATAACTCGATGGTCCTGATGAGTGATCAATCATCAGCCTCTTCCGCCAGAGTCTGGCCAGCTTTTGTTAAAGGCATAGCTCCTTCTGTTGCTGGTTTCTAGGCTGTGGGTTCTCTGCTACAGCTACTCAGTGCTGAAACTGTACTGCAAAGCAGCCACAGACAATAGAGTATCAATGCAGAGCTTGGCTGTATCCTTGTACATTTTCATATCTAGAGACCGATCTTTAAATATGTTCTAATTGCCAAAATATTTTACGAGCTGATTTTTCAATCACTTAAAAGCATGAAAACTGTTCTTAGTTCAAGCACCACATAAAAGGAAGCCATGTATCAGGTTGGGCCCCCAAACCAGAGTTTGCAATGACTGTTCAATGGATAGCCCACAAGTCAACACTAATGATCTGTTCCTGCTGTAGTCCTGCCAAATCTGTCTCCCACTCTGCTGCTGATAAACATGTTCTTGAAATTCCCAGTATCTGACCCACAGCTTGGTAACAGTTTTCTCTCCCAGCTCCCTAGGACCTGAAACACTCCCGGTTCTCGTAGACTCTCTTTCTACAAGTGCCATGGACAATGACTTAGCCTGTTTACACCCATACTTCTTCCCTTAACAAGCTCTTCCTATTGCCTCCTGTGTAGAGCATCTGAGGTCTATCCTTTGCTCACCCCACAAAATGCTTTTGTGTGTTTAGGAGATGACTTTAAAACTTTCTGCTCTGGTTGACCTTTTCATCCTAAGCATCATATTGACAGCTTTTTATTTTGTTTTGTTTTGTTTGTTTGTTTTTGTACCTTTATGAATGTCACCTCTCTGTATGCATTCCTACCCCATGCTCAAGAGTTGCTCATCCTTCAGTAACAAAAGGAAAGTTGTCTAAACTAACTTGCAGAAAAGTCATTCTTTGGTACCATACTATAGTGTTTGATCTTTCTCAATGAACTCAGATTCTGTCTTAGTTCTAGGAAACAACTTGAGATACTGAAGACAAGGAAAGGCAAGTCAGACCTTGCTAAGAGAAACTGCTGTTCCAGAAAGTCTCATTTTCATAAAATACTTCATATGGTGATCAAGATTTATGGCTAATGTTGCTACTTGTATTTAAAACACATGATTTTCCAACTATATATTCTTTCTACTATAAAACTGCTACCAAAGTACACAGAGTGAGAAACACAAATAAGACATAGTATAACATACATGTTATATCAGAACAATAGAAGAAAAAAAAGTGTTAACATCATGTATCTAAGGCATTACAAATTTCCTCAAAAACAAAACAAAACAAAAAAGAATGAAACATATCTTTGCACCATTAATCAAAATTTCCCCAGCATAAACAAATGGAACACATCTTTAACTAATATTATACAACAGGAAGACAACTGATGTAGACATCTGGCCCCAATGGCACACACTCATGGGCATGAGTGTGCATGAGTGCACATGAGCACACCCATGAGTGAACACATTAAGTTTTTAATTAAAAAAAAATAAAAAGCAGGCTTGTCATAGTGGTGCAAGCCTTTAATTTCAGCACA